TTAAGAATTATAAATCTATGTAAAGTAATATGTTAAAATTTCATTAATCATCTGAAAATATTTTTAACATATTTTTTAACATATTTAAAAAAAAATGCTAGTAAAACGACAGAAAAAATGAGCAATTGGGCTAGCAAAAGAGCTGAAATTATAAAGAATTAAAAATCGAAAGCCTTTGGGCACTAAATATTCTAATGTACTTTATAAATACTTCTATTATAGAATAGATCTATTTTGATACTTCCAAAATTTAAAATTTATATTTTAATAAATGTTGGCCATCCCTGCTTGAAAGTGAACAACTAATGACTAATTCTGGTACGATTCTTGATGATAATAATTCTTACATATTTTTTTACATAATTTGTTATCATAATTGCGAATACGCAAATCACTAATGATAAATATTTTCTTACGATAGTTATAGAGAATCAAACAACTTATTTTTGTTTGTATTTAAGATTTTCCAAATAAAGACGTATTTTGCGCATAGTAGTAAAAAATACTGTTTTACGTTTTAATTTCCTAAAATAAAAATCAGTGTATAATTGAATTAAATTTATAAACAACATTCTAATGACTTTTGGAATTTTTCAAGATTAAATTCATAATGAGATTTGTACCATGTGGTGTTTAAATATAAAAACTAATTAAATATTAATTTAATACTTACTTAAATTTACTTAAATATTAAGTGCACCGATATAAAAATTATTTTATATCGGTGCACTTCAAAATAGAATGTTAATTTTTTTTAGTGCAAATGCGAGGCGAGGAGTTTTAAAGCGTCTTTTTCAAGTTTTTAAAATTATAACAAAAAGTTAATGTCGAAACAGATTATTGTACATGAGAACTGAAGATATCATTTGTGTTAATTCGCACTCAATAAAAAATCAGCACATCATGAAACACTAGTTTTTATAACTTGCGAAGAAAACTTGATTCATGCCGACAATAGTTACTTTCATATTATAAAAAATATAAAAAATCGCAAAATTATCTTTAGTGATCTCTCAAGTATAATTAATTTCAGTAAGGTACTTTGAGTACCGAAACGTTACTTATAATTAGAAAAAAAGTTTAAATTTTTTAACATCCCGTAGGGTAAGTTATTGTAATGGACCGAAAATCGAATTGAAAATTTTTACATTTCTCGACGTTTTGAAGGTTTCTGAACATTTTGGCATACCTCAAAAAAAAATGGATGTGTGTGTGTGTGTGTATGTATGTATGGATACAAATTTCCAGCCACGTTTTCAGGTGCGCGGATCAACCGATTTGAATGGTTCAAAAAACATTCGATTCCTATTGATAGGGAGATGTGGTGAATAGTTTTTAGCGAAGGCAGGTCTAGCCGTTACGGAGATACGAAGCAAAGAGCGCAGAAAATACAAATCGAGTTTTTTAAAAAACGGAGTATCCGATTTGAATGATCTAAAAAAACATTCAATTAGTAATGATTGGGAGAAGTGTTTATTAGTTTTTGGCAAAGGCAGGCTTAGCCATTTCGAAGATACGGAGCTAAATGTGTAAAAAATGGCAGTTTTTCAGAGAACTAAGCGTTTGATTTAAATGATTCAAAGAACTTTCTGCTTGTCTTAAAAAAATAATTGATTTTGGAAAAAAAAAATTTTGTTTCAACTTCTTTTTCCATTTTTTTTAGAAAGTTTCAGCAATTTTCTTTAAGGCACGATGCCATACACACCACTAGTTTGTTTATGTTTTAACTAAAAATCCAGAACATTGGTAATTAAGAAGAACGTCATTAGTTTGGAATTTTGATCAAATTTTTTTATATATTATGTGCATCCAAAAAGTGGTTTTATTATAAAAATCTATCAAAATTTTGAATAATGGGAAGAGCCCGAATTTCATATCAATTCCTATAGATCGGGTCGATTATTCACATATCAGGAAGTTTTTGCAACATGCCCTAAGGCACATGTCACTTACACCTTTTCTAAGAACCTTTTTGCTAGAATAATCAGTCATTTATCCTCGTATCATCTATCTATCGATTATATTATACAACTGCACATATTTGCACAACTTAATGATATCGAGCACTAGAGCGCTGGTAAAAAAATCTGGAAAATATCCCATAGGCACCAATTAGCCGGTTCTGCGAAACGTGTTGAAATTCACGAATAGTTTTTGTTTTATTATTTTCAATCATAAATACACGCATCCATCGTTCGAACGGATTAATACAACAAGTTCCTAGAAACAGAAACTGGGCAGATCGCGTGATTCAATTTTAAGTAGAGAAGTAGTATATATTTCATTCTATGGAACAAACGGAAAACGGCTTTTATCTCGTCCCAAAGAAAGATTTGTGATGTACCTGATTGATGCTGCTAGTGGTGAAATGGTAATAATGTCAGTAGCTCATCACGATTGTATCTTACTTTATAAATGCAAAAATTGCTCCCGACGAATGATTTTTTATAGAGTCAAGGGACAAAGAAATCGCTTCACGCGCCAAGACCAAGATGCACCAATAAATAATTTCCGTATTTTTTTATAAAAAAAATTAGGTGTGAGTATAAATTCAATAATTTGTTGATGTCAAGATTTTTTATAAACCAATAATGATCAAACTTCTATAAAAATTTGTTTCACAAATTCTAACAACTATATAAAACCACATCTTTACAAATGTACCGGCAATCAAAATTTTCACTTGATTTATACTAAAAATATTAATTTATATATAAAGTTATTTAGCATTTCTCAAAATAATGTAAAATTGGTTAATAATATTTTTAATTTAAACTAAATTATAATAATTGCTAAATTATATTAAATTTTATACTTTTTTAAAAGAAAATTAAAATTGGTGTATTATTACGATTTACTATATAATTTATATCTCATTGAAAAATATGCTTATTACTGTATGTTATAATATGTAAATTGATAATTGTATACAAATTATGATAATTCCTCACGATTGTAAACATGTGTAAATATTTTCTAAGCATTTTATGATAAGCTTTGTGTAAATTTACACAAAATTAAAGAATATTTATGTATATATATATATATATATATATATATATATATATATATATATATATATATATATATATATATATATGTGTGTGTGTGTGTGTGTTCAAATCAGCTAATTCGACGAATTGAGAAATGTATTAATATTGACAATAATTAAATGAATTTTTATTTAAATGATTAGACACTTAAATGTAGTATCTTCCGACAAATAATATCGCCAAACAATTAAAACATTTTATCCATTTTAATTGCAAAAAAAACCTAATTACAATAAACTTACTGTAGGATTGTTTTTGTAAAAGAAAATCTAATTAAAATTATCGTGTACGTTTTGCTACAAATTTAAATACTCTATATTAAAAATTATTAAAATTATTAAAATTAAATCTTTTGTTTTTTGTGTGAAAAGCATAAATTCAAAAAATCTCAAATAATACTTAAAAAAACTTCACATTGTGGTTAATAAAATTTATATTATTTCATCTAAAGTTTAAAAGTTATGCTAGTTTATTCTTCTGAACTAGTAAACTCTAAAAACCTTTGAACTTTAAGACTTTAAGACTTTGACACTTTAAGAGAGTATCATTAAAAGACACCAGAAAATAATCTCCAAATTATTTTTTAAACAAATTTTAATATATGATCAGAAACATTTTACAAATTTAATATGTGTGTATTAACTGATAACTTATATTTCAATAATAGGTAATATATCTTAAGTAAAAATGATCATAAATTTAAAAAATATATAATATCTGAAATATTTATAAAAAAAACTTGATAATTATAATTAATTAAAATTTATCTTATTTACTCAATATTTAATATAATGCTAGTTTATTCTCGGGAATAAAATACATAATTTTCGTGGGTTAAATGAATAATTTTTAGTGTATTTTAGTGTTAGACCCTACAAGAACACATGACATTAGAATGAAAACTCAAGAAAAAACATTGATTCTAACAATATTGTTAAAAATATTTTTCAAATTAGTTATTTGGCTATTAACCGATACTAAACAATAAAGAAAAACTAAAAAAAAACGCAAATTCTAACAATATTTCTAATTCTTTTATATTAAATAGTTAAAAAATTATCTATACATTAACTGATAGCTTTTATTGTAATAATATAAAATATGTTAGAAGTAAAAATATATCTTTAGTTTTTTATTTAATTAATTTTTTTTAATAGTTAGGTAATTTTTTTTAATATGTTACATAAATATCGTAAAAAAAATTTATATAATGTTTTATGCTTATTTACTGATTTTTACATAAAAAACAGGAGATTTTTAAATAATTTGAAAATTTGCTTCATTTGACTTAAAAATACATACATTGATTTTTAAGTCAAATAAAGCAAATTTTCAAATTAATAAAAAAATCCCTTGTTTTTTAAGCAGTAAATAAACGTAAAACATTAAACGATAAACAATAAACGAAAAAATTATAATTTTTTTTTGTATAATATTCGTGTAATATATTTAAAAAAAATTAACTAACTATGCAAAATATGTTCAAGAAGTTAAGAATGAGCTCTAAAATGAACAAAAGACTTTAAAGAGCATCATTAAAAACATCAAATTTTAGTAATAATTTTAACCCAAATTTAAAAAAATATTTTAGGTCAAATATTTAAAATATTAACTTATAATAAATTTTATTACAATAATATAAAAAAATATCTTAAGTAAAAAATATATCCCTCGGGCTTGACCCCCACCACGTTGTCTTGACTTGGTCATATAAATACAAGTCTAGTACTAAACTTACGACATTCAGATCTTCGCATCAGTAAAGAACAGTTTGGATAAATTTCGTTTTCTGTTTGAACTTTGTGAAATATAATAAATATTAAAATATATAGTAATATATCATCATTGGAAAAAAGTTTATTTATTCGTTAATTTATTATTATATTAATCATTCACACAAAACTACTACTACTTAATTTTAATATTTTTGTGTGTCTTCTCCAATCGTGAAATTTGCGCGCCAAAAAAATAATTAGTGGGATTTCTGTTCTGATTGGATCGAGATTGTGAAAAAAAACTGTGCTACTTCTAAAAACCAGTATTAGTAAGACATTTGCAGAAATTTTGAGAAAAATGGCTGGATTGTGCAGGGTTTTTGTGATTTGCACAGTTGTTGCGATGTGGTGTGCAAATTTACAAACGGCAAATGCTGCTACTATATATAAAAGGGTAAGTGGAAATTTAATTATATTTTTATGATTTATTATAATTAAGCACATATTAAATTTGATTTTTTATTATTAATATATAAAGTAATCACAGCTATGTTTTAAATTGTAAATGAATTTCAACATGAGAACCGAAAAAAATGTTTTTTGTATTTAGAGAAAAATTTAGTATGAATTCGTATGTATTTTCTGTGATTTTATAATTTCTAAGCTTGAAATTTGGATTTTTTTTAATTTGTATTTATATTACTGTGAACTGTTTTTGCATCAAGTTAATTGTGATTATGAAATTTTTTTTGAAATTTTATTTAGTAAATAATATTTTTAAGCAAATGGATACAACTACAATAATAAGAAGCACATTTTATAATATTTAATTTTATAATTTTATATTATTTAAATACATCGAATGCACCTTTTCTCAATGCACATAATTTAATTCTATTTTTTAAGATAAAATATCAATTCATGCAATTTTGTTAGAAATTTTGGGTGCATGAAACGATAATTTTTTAGTTTATAAGTTTTTCACAATTTTATGCACATTGCACTTATTATTTTTATTATAAATATTTAAACATATTTATTCTCATATTTATACATTATCTTATTATTAGACATATTTTTTTATTTTAATTCGAATATGTAAAAAGTCCATAATTTATATCATATTTAATAAAGCAATATATTAATTAATAACTCAAATACATTTTTAAATTTAAATTATAGAGTTCAAATGAAATTATTGAAATTTTCAAAAGATTTTTTTGTTACCTTATCGTTAAGTTTAGGCATATTTTTCTAAATTCAAATTCAAAATAAACACTAAAAAAAGTTATAATTTATATTATAATTATTAAACAATATTAACTAATAATCTATTAATTTCGTTTAAATGTTTTTTTATATTTTAATTTAAATAATTTTTTAAATAATTACTTATTAATACATTTCTAAATTTTTTGCTCTTCCTATAATATTTTAAATAGACCTAACTAATTATAATAGTGAAATTTAAAATTGCTTAAAAAAATAAAATATTTTCCTATATGGAACAATATTTTTGTTAGGCCTAACTCAAAGTAAATTTGTTTAATAAAATAAAATTTGTTCTATGTTGAAAATTAAATTTGCCTAAAGAAATAATAAAAATATATAAGTATATAAACACAAAATATAAATACATAAATAAATAAAATTAATTTCTATGTGAATATTTTAATAGCCCTAAAATCAGAGCAAGAATTGAATTTGTTTAATAAAATAAAATGTATAAATATATAGATGAATGTTTATGTGGAAATTCTAATAGTTGAATTTGTTTAATAAAATAAAATTTTACCCTATGTGGAATTTTTATTAGCCCTCATAACTCAGAGAAGAATTGAATGTAAATAAAAATAAAATTTTAATAGTAAAAACAAATATGATAATCCTATTATAATTATATGACCTATAATTTGATAGTAAATACGTGTTTTATGCCATCGCAAAAATATTATATAAAAATTTATTCTAAAAAACAATTATATTTGTTACTTATGGAAATATTTAGAACTATATATATAATTTTTATTAAAGTTAAGTGCATATTCGAGATATTACCTACTGCAACTGATAAATTAATAATAAGAATTTAATATTAGATTACTGATTAAATACTTCATTCTAATTCTAAGTAAAAATTAGAAATACAATTCTAAGTAAAATATTAAAAATTTCAAGTTAATATTACAATATTAAATTGATATTCTTAAGTTTTTATTCAATGAATGAAATGTTTTATAAAAATTGAATTATTATTATTTAAAGTAAATTATTCGTCATAACTCTACAATCTTAAATTTTTATTACTATAATGGGCGTATTAAAATAATAAAACATTTAAGTAAATTATTCGACATAAATTTATAAAGTTAATTTTAATTTGTATAATTGAAGTAATGTAATAATGGAATTATTTAAATAAATAAATTTTTCAAAATAACTTAATAATCTTAATTTCGGGTATTAAAATAATTGAATTATTATTTGATATAACTAGATGATTTTTATTTTCATTTTATCAATTCCGATTTTTTTATTTTCATATAAATTTGAATCTGTCTATAGATGAGTGGTTTAAGAATTTTTACCAAATATTTGCTTCCAATTTTTTTTCCAAAACTCCGTTTCTTCGGAAGTTACAGTTCATAAAATAAGATTTCATAATACTTTATCGCTTTGTGAAAATTTAAAAATGCCTATTTAAACACCGAACTGATAAAGAGAGCATTATCATCCGATTTTGTAGAGAAGAAGTGCCTGTTGTAAAGTCGGGTTTACATGTACGGACTTGTTAGAACTTGTAGGAGATAGATCAGACAAATAAAAGACGTATTCAAATTTCGTAAAAAACATGTATGTATATTTTCACACGGTTAAAAAAGAATAAACAGTAAATTCATTACTTTTACTTAAAAGCCAGACTCAGAGTATGATAGAATCAATTTATATTCTAATCGATAATAGATTAAAAGTATAATGAAGACAAAAATAATTACTTTTACTTAACTTTTTACACGAGGTCCAAATTTCCTTACCTTTCTTATTCCTTTTTTATTATTTTTAATTTATTATAATTTTGTTTTCTATTCTAATTTTTGTTTCAATTTTGTAACAATGACTCATAAGATTTCATTGTATCATGATTGCTATTTTTAAGGAAATAAAAAAATTAATTAGATCGGGTTGCTAACTAGTATTTTTGGGTTAACTATAACATTACCAACTATCAATTTCCCCTGTATAAATATTTTCAATGTAAACCAATTCTAAAACCCGATAATATCTAGGTTTAGTTCAGAAGGCACATAAGAAAAAGCAAATCTTAGTACACCAGTAAGTACATCAAATATTGAAATGATACAGCCAATATACACAAATGCAATCAATCGAGCAAACATCGATGTCACATTGTGATTGTTTTATTGTATGTTTAGCTTATCTTTGACCCCTGAAGAATAATTACTGGTAATACGCACTTTTTACATAAGATTATACTTGGGATGACGTCTGCGTTTTACTTTTTTATCACGTACACACATTTTATGAAGAAATTCACACGGATAAAGGAATAATACTAACAGACAGTATAGACGAAATAACTTGTTACATGATGGGATGCAAATAGCTACGAAAAAATTTAGATTCAGTTACAAATTTAATTTTATTTGGAAACACGACCTTTTGTGAAATAGTTGATATATACACGTAGCTACCCCATGGTTAGAACTATGGAATTCGAATCAGAAGTTTCAGATTTGATGCTTTCCTCGGACAGCCTGATGTCAAACAGTAGTGACATTAGTTTTCACTTGGAAATATAGGTAACAATAAGTTTCCACGTGAAAATAGCCTTTAACCGACTTTGCTGCACAAAAAAAAATTCATAAGTATTGCAAAAATTGCAACAATGAATTCATCACATAGAGATACCCTTTGGGTTGCAATCTATAAGAAAGCCACTTTGTTTAAGAAAGTAGCACATTAAGTCATAGAACTCCTTAAGTTCTGATTAAAAAAAATCTAAATTTGTCAAATAAAATTCTTTGAATGTTTCTTTGTTCACCATAAACGTGTACTAAATAAAAAGTTAAGTAATAAGTTCCAAGTTTTTTTTCATTTTTAATGAAAGTTTTATATACATATATTCTTGAAATGTTTGTTTGCAACTAAATAAATAATTTAACTATTTATATGAACGTTTCGACACTGTATGCGTGTCGTCATTAAGCAAAACGAATTTAAACAAAAAAACAGCATTGTTTAATGAGAGTCAAATTAAATTTATTGAGTCAAATAAAAGTTAAATAATAAAATTATGTATCTAGTAACGAGATTACTTTTGATATATATAAATATACAAATAAAATTGTAAACACAATTTGTAAAATGAATTATAAGTCTTTTTGCATACCGTTACAAAAAAAATTATTGTATGATATGTGGGTTTTAATTATTACACCATTTTAAACGATTTGCTTATTAGTTACTATTTTCAAAAAATTCAAATCAATTTTCCCAAAATCTTTTGGCTGTTAACTTCTCAAATAATCTTAGAAAAAAACAATTTCATAACCATTTTTTATAGAAATTTGTCTTTACTTTTACTCAATTGTATTTTTGATTTAAAGTATATGTAGAAGTACCACTTCTAACTTTAACTTAAATTAACTAATTTATTATTTTTTCTAGATGTCCTCATTTTGACTTAAATAAACCCTCAACTAACTTTCAAAATTAATGAATATCAATAAGTGAAAATCTTGTTTTGTAAAATCAAACTAATAAACTTTAATGACCTCAGAAACTAATTTTTGAAATAAATTTTTATATTATTATTATTAATAAATTATAATAAATTTTTTATTATATTTTCCAGATGTCCTCATTTTAACTTCAATAAACTAAAATATTGACTAACTTATAATTAGCAAATATTGAAAACTGAAAAATCATCTATTGCAAAATCAATAGATGTATCATTAAAAATAACCTTAAAAAATTAAACTATTTTAGAATTTTATTATGAATTTCACGACTCAATAAATTTTAACATAGTTTGCATCAATATGCGCAGAACGTTATTATGTTAATATAAACATTCTATTAATTTTGCTTAAATGATTCATTAACGACTTGAATAATTCATGAGTTTATATAAAATTCATTATTGATTTAATAAGACAAGATGATAATGACATAATATATTTTAACTCTGAAGGGAAGTTTTATAGGAAAAAGCTGTTAGTAAAAATTATACGAAAATTATATAACTTTTTGTATATTTTTTAACAACAACCAAAATTTAAAGAGTCTCATTAGCTGCTTACATTTTTTAACAACAATCAGAACTTATTACACTGACTTCTTAAATGACGTGTTTTTTTGTAGATGGCAACCCAAACGGTTGTCCCATTTTTCTGGTAAATTTATTATTGCAATTTTTGTAGTACTAAT